GGGGTGAATCTGTATGTGAAGAACTTGGACGATAGCATAGATGACGAGAGACTCCGGAAGGAGTTTGCCCCTTATGGCACCATCACAAGTGCCAAGGTATTGTAATTAGATAAGACTTTGGTTTTCTTCACAAATATTTGCGAGTACACACTAGGGTTGGATCAGTAGACAGTGCCATCGTCACATTGTTGAGCTGGCATCTTGATTGTATCCCCATTTTTTTATTCCCCCCCCCCCCCCCCCCCCCCCCCCGGGTTTTCCACCCGTGATCCATTATCAGCAGGTGCGTCACATACCGGCTTGTTAATGACGTAGCCTAACAAACGACCAAAACCAGCATCTCCATTCTAGTGTCTGCTGTTGCTTTACTTGGTCTGTGTGTAAACTATCCACCATCTCCTCGACATGTAACATAATAGTGAACACATGCCTTTTATATAACCTACCTAGTCTACCTGCGCACTGTTAACAAGTCATTTAGTACCCACATAATTGAATAGATGCGGCCCCGTAGATTGACCCACTTGTCACGATACCTGATCCAGCTATTTGAGTTCGTATCGGGCCAATCCTGGTTATGATATTAATTATTCATTACAGATTGGCAGACATTTTTCAATACTTATGGCTCACAAAGTCAAGTCCCCTTCAGCTTTTTGTCTTCAGGCATTCAGGTTTCAAGTAAGTGGAGTATCGCAGCATGTTAGTTGCACGTCCTCATTTTTGTGACTCAATTCCAAGTCTTAATGCTACACTCCTGAAGTATGTCCAACATTTCTGAACTTGAGCGTCTTTGTTTCCTGTAGGTCATGACAGATGGCTCCCAAAGCAAGGGCTTTGGCTTTGTCTGTTTCTCTTCACCCGAGGAAGCAACAAAAGCAGTAACTGAAATGAACGGGAGAATTGTTGCAACCAAGCCACTGTATGTGGCTCTGGCTCAGCGAAGGGAGGAGCGTAAAGCCATCCTGACCAATAAATACATGCAGAGACTTGCTACCTTGAGGAGCATGACAAGTCCGATCATTGACTCCTACCAGCAGGCTGGATACTACATGACTGTACCACAGGTATGGAGGTTTGAACAGTAACAAGGAAAGAGGATGTTACATTCATCATGCTAAAAATCACTGATTGCTTTACATAAAGACGATATGTTTTGTCGACTGCATCCCAACTTTGATTTGTACAGCAAAATTAACTAGTAGTAGTGATACTTTTGTCTGAATTTAAAATGTTTTGCTTGGCCACCAAGCAGAGTTTTCAGGACGGCGCAACTGCAGGCGGTTGGCTGCTCCCAAGCTTTCTGCTCTGATCAGACTGCCATTGCGGAAACACTCCGTGGTGCGCAGGGATTTTTTTACCTGAACAATGAGCAGGACGCACACTTTTACTTTCTCTGACGAAGAAAGGCACACTATGTTTATAGTGGCTGGTAACTTAGGAAAAAAAAAAATTTCTCCCACAGCATTAAACCTCATTTGGATGGGATTAACATTACAGGGGAGGGGAGGAATGTGCTCCATAGACATGTTCAAGATGTTCAATGCTAACATTACAACAACCCATTTGATGAGCTTTTACCAGGTTCTTACTCTCTTGATGGCTTTAATCCTTTCTGCCGTTGTACTGGTTCTCAAATATTTTTTAAGTTGGTAAAATGCAGTAAAAGGACAAGCAGCTCTTCCTGCACACCAGTTTTTCTTTTTGCCAAAAAAACTGCAGATGATTGCGGCTGTAATTGTTACTGGTGTGGAGATGGAAAATGACTTGCATGTATGCACCAGATAGGATTAAAATCACTAACCAGGGCAGGTAATGTTTAAAATTTTCCCCTAGAGAAATAAACCTAGTCGAAATGTCAGTTTTATTTATATAGCTCAGTATCACAAATCACAATTTGCCTCAAGGGGCTTTAAAATACACTACATACAATAACTACTCTACTCGAATGAGGGGAACAAGGGAAAAATGCAGGAAAACTTGAAGAGCAACAGAGGAGGGGTCACTTGGACAGACGTGCAATAGATGCGTGCACAGAATAGACATCAGGAAATCATAGTTTATACCAGTATGATGGGACTGTATGCGTATTTTACTGGACTTTCGTAGTTGGCAGGTGTTAAGGATCCTGCTTGAATGACACACATCTAATATCTATTCAATTTCCCAGTCATCACAGGCCAACCATTGCAAAACTTTCAATTAAAATGTCATACAGAGGTTGACCTGCAAAGTGATTCAATCAGCTAATATTTATCTTGCAGCCTCCCACTCGCTCCTTCTACAACCACAATGCTGTCAGCAACATGAGACCAGTCCCTCGTTGGACAGGACAACCACCGAGACTACAGGGTGAATGGGTTATTTGTTTCATGGTCATGTGTATCTGTGTGTACATGCAATGTGTATAAATGCCGTCTCCAATGTTTTTAGGCCCCTACACAACCCAGTTCGTTGGTAGTTCTGTTCCTCGACGTGGAACGAACCCTATCGCTACAGTCAGACAGGCTTCCACCCAGGCTCCACGCATCATAAGCTCCACACAAAAGACAAGTAGGTACCACAACTATGACAACAAAAGCTCCATCCTTCTAAAATGTGCCATTAACGTAGATTGGTAGTATCTGACATGTGTAATGCCTTTATTTAGATAACATCGGGACCCAGACTGTAGGAGGGCGTACTGACATGCCTGGTGGGACCAGAAGCAGCCAGTACAAGTACGCGTCTGCAGTAAGAAACGTCCAGCAGGTCATTACTATACCTGCACCCATGACAAGAGTGCAGGTACTTTAGTCTGCATTGTATTGTTGTCTAATTCTAATACGCAACCGGGACCAGAAACCTCTGTGAAAGCCACTGTGGTGACCACTGTTAGGGTTGTTTCTTGTACCCTGTGAAATTTTCTTGTAAACAAAGTTACGTTTATATTTAGTTTTTCTTAACCAAGACTCATTGTGTATCTAAAGCTGCGTTCAGATTGCAAGCCTTAATTGTCAATTCCGATTGTTTTTTTTGTTTTATTTAATTTTTTTAGCGAGGTAGAGAAGAAAGAGAGCCACACATGTAATTATTGCTTTTGTGGAGTTTTTATCGTTCACCGCGGCTCTGTCTATAGCAGAACTGTGACAACAGCAGCTCTAGAGTGACATCAAAGTCGCACCAATTCTGATCTGAGTGTCCAGAATGAAGTCGCATTTCAAAAGATTCGATCTGTATCAGGCCACTTTCATATGTGGTCCAAATCCGATACAGATCTGATCTGGAGAAGATTAGATCACACATGAGCAAAAAATCGGATATGGGTCACTTTGGCCTGCAATCTGAATGCAGCCAAAGTGACTTAAATCTGATTTGTTTGCTCACATATGACTCAGAAATCTCATTCCCCTGAAACCAAATTAAAAATAAAAACACATTTAAAATAATATGAACTGATCTGGGCAATAAATCAGATTTGAGCAATGAGCCCTATAGTGTGAAATGTAGCTTTAGTGGTCTGACAAACATGTTGAATGCATTCCCTTCCATTTGGAAAGCAAAGCCGATTACATTTGCCATCGTGAGCATTACTACGTTTCTTTGGTGTTACTACTACCCAACCGTGGGATCAAATGTCCTGTGGTTGACACGATTGATTGGGACAAATTGACTCTATAGTTGAGTTGCGGTGCTGTGTCCAGCTTTGTGGTCAGCAACCTCAAAATGTTACAGGGGAAAAATGACTCATTGGAGTAAAGTTGTGTTGTACTCGATGTCTTCAGGTTGTTCCTGCACCTATGATGGAGCAGCTGGTGCACATTCAAGCCCAAGAGCCGCTCACTGCCTCAATGTTGGCTGCAGCTCCTCTCATGGATCAGAAACAGCTTCTTGGTGTGGCATCATACAATTCAGCCCCCCCCCTTATGTAGACTGAATGACAACATGTGTATCTGGTTGTTAATCTCTTCATCTCTCTCTCTCTGTGATACTAGGGGAGCGATTGTACCCACTGATCCATGCCCTTCACCCAAACTTGGCTGGAAAAATCACTGGGATGCTGCTGGAGATAGACAACACGGAGCTGCTGCACATGCTGGACTCGCCCGAGTCCCTTCAGTCTAAGGCATAATTATGTTCACTGTCCTACATTTAAACATTACACAGTTGCTGTTTAGGGTTTGGGCAGATTACAAGCCTTTTGCCATGATTTGCTTTTTGAAATACTTCCACGGCTGTCAAACATGCTTCAGTTTCTCGAAATGAAATATATTACTGATGTAACTTCATGAGGAATGAAAAGGAGATTGGGTGACGCATGACAGACATGCAAAATATACACAAACCATCGCAACAGGTGGAGACAGAGTTGTAAACACATGGTGAGGGGGGGGGGGGGTCATAGCAGGAGGTCCTGCAGGTGGAGGTGAGTTGGTGTTGTACTGGTACAGCACTAATATTCAGTTGCAGCTGGTGATATTAGTGATTTCAAGTGTCAAGTTTATGACCACTCAATCCGCACTAAGTTTAGATAATTATGCTGCTCTCTAGAAAATGTAGTGCTTTTACTTAATGTCTGATGTTATTCATATTCCTGTAGATTAAAAGTTGATTCACGTTCTTGTCTCTGCCACAACCTTCATTATGGCCCCTGTTTATCCAGTCTGTGCTGTTTTGTTTAATACTTACACCACGTTTTTAATTTGCGGTACACTAGGCTCGTTATTAAAGGAATAGCTTTTTTTGGGGGGGGGGGGGTCGGTCCAGCACACACAAGCAAGATATTAAGTGTTAATTAGTGTGCTTTAGAGGTCCTGGTAGGTGGAGTTTACTTTGGAAAGAGCCAAGCTAACAGTTTCCAGTCTTTTGCTATGCTATGCTAAGCAAAGCAACTCCTGACTAACTCCTGTAAAGACATCAGTGCTATTGATATTGACAATGGTTTTACTTTGGCCAGGTGGATGAGGCGATCGCTGTCCTGCAGGCTCACCAGGTGAAGGAATGCTCTCCTAAAAAGTGAAGAGCCCTTTCAGGTCAGCAGCAACTTCTCTTTGACTGTTGAGACATTTTCACCTTGCTGTTTACCACACATGCAGTATTCAAGCTTTACAGTTATTATATGTTTAAGTTGGATGTGTCAGTATTGCTCATCTTAACTTAAACTTTGCTTTTCTTTAAATGAATGTCCTATTGTGGATATTAATTTATTAATTGTACCAAATGGCTTTCCAAATATCTGCATCAAGTTAACAGCATTTGCTTATTTGGTTAAAGTTCTTTCAATTTGACAATACTCCTGAATGAAACATCAGGAACTTAGGTCTGGAAAAATCCTACACAGCTGCGTTTCATAGAAAGTGTGCTGAGTTGCAGACTTAAAATGTTACCACAAAAGACTTAACCATGTCATTTTTTCCAGATGTCAAGACTTTCTGGAGGGGGGGGGGGGGGGAGAAAAAAAAGTAAAATTTAGAGAAAGAAATGTTCTGTGGTTAAAATTTGTAAAGTTAAAGTTATTTTGTTGTTGCAAGACCTTTTGTTAGAAGATAAAGTTTACAGTTTATGCATTAAATCTGTCTTGTGTCATATGTTAAACACAAAAGGTCAATGCAGCAGTACATCTGCTCTAGGTTTAAAATTGTCTGTGAGACTGTCCTGGATGGTTCCATAGGAAAGCTCAGGGAAGTGGATGTGCACTGTCCTTTTAACAGACATTAATCAGATGTACATTTGCCAAACCAACAGGTTAGTCTTCATCCTTTTAAAGCTGGAGAGACCGATCGATTTTTGGAAGTATCAAACTGAAAAAAATCCCACCCTCTCCCTCCAAAGCACATTTTCTTGCTCACTGAGTGCACAGGTAGGTAGGCCAGCCAAGAGTTTCATTCAGGCCAAATTCAATGATTGGATGTGCTTTCAACAGCCCTGCCAGACCAGATCTTTTTCATTTTTGCGTCAGAACATTTTATTTATTGCTGTTGGGTTTTAGAGAACTAAGACAAATAACAAAATGCTTCTAAAATAAGTTGCCTTGTACTTTTATGTAAAATCTACGCAGTAGACGCTCACCTCCCCCAAAAAAGCAAGTACACGTCACGTCCAAACAGACCACAACTGTGATTGGTTAGCTTGGGAGCATCGCGTTTCCGGCTTGTCCTCCTTCACCGCCATTTTCAAATTATCTCTCGTTTCCGCGTGCAAGTAATTGCATTAAAAATAACTGCTGTTCGACATCGATCAGCTCAGTTTGTCGCCATTGCCTGTAATAGCCTAGACCAACACCAACAATGGATACGCACAAGTATACATGTTTACGACGGCGTAGGTAGGACTCGACACAGAAGCGTAACTTGGCTTTAAGTCTTACAATTTGAAATCACTCCCAATACAGCACACATCTCACCTTTTGTGTTCCTTGTCAAAATAAGATTTCTAATGCGCTGTCTTTGCCTCAAACAACATGTTTCACGAGAGAATTATGTAGACCCATTGCTTGTTTTGGCAAATAGACATGTGGTTGACTGCCCAGCCGCTTCTCTATGAACCATCTAGGACTGTCAGTACAAATGACATTACCAAGTTAAGATTTGCGCTCATACTGTACCAAGTGAGGCTGTAGCAGCAAAACCCATATTGAAGTTTGTAAAAAATAAGGTTGAAGTCAAACTGTCATTTCATCCATTTAAATCAAATCTGTAGTTTCTCTGTAGAGACTAAATCGGGGGCCAAGAGCTCAACACCATCAAACTAAACTGCTAGTTTCTGACCATGAGTGGGGTTTCAGATTTGTTTGTTGTTGCCTGAATGTCACCATTTTTACTTCATAGGCTTAATTTCATTTGGTCTCAAGGTTTTATGTTCAATACTTAAATAACCATAACAAGTCAACTCTGGTTTAAATCCAATCTACTGAAGACATTGTCAGTGACAGCAACAGAAGAGTGTCCAGTACTATCTGAGACTTAAAATTTCAACTGCATTCCTAAATTGAACCTGGGATGACAAAACCCCAAGAAGGGTACAAAAACATAAGCTGAATTGTCAAATTTGCCAAAGTTTATTGGGAGCCTTCATACAAAAAATGAAATTATGGCTGTAAAAAGTTACAAAGGATTATTGTTGACATTGATATACTTTTGGCATTTAAGGCCTATTAACCCAACACATTTCTGTAACTCTTTGCAATTTATTTTTAGATCTAAAACTGATTTAAACAAGCAGATAAGACAGTAATATTTAAAAACATACAGACCAATAGATACCTGCAGCTTACTCCTCAGTGGTAGTTTACAACACACCCACAAAAATCTTTGAAAAGCAACTTCAAAAAAAAGGGGGGAAAAACTGCCTAATTTTCAATGGTGAACACATGAACTTGAGGCAACTTTTATTACACACAGCCAACTAATTTCAATGCAATTGTCTCAATGACATTTCCATGAATGCAAACAATTCAAATCAGTCTGCCTCAATGACATTTCCATGAATGCAAACAAATGTATTTACACTGCCTTTCATACGCATGTTGACTATCGACGTGCCGGCATTAGAAGCTGCTTCGCTGTTACTGAATCAGGGAAAAGGTTGTGGTAGGTTGGTAAGGGAACGTAGGCTGCTGTGATCATTTTGCCTGAGAAAGAAATAAGGATTACAACCTGGAAAATGTTTGCATTTTTTGCTTTTAACAACTCAACCTGATGGCATTACATACCTGCAAACCAGCGTCCATGAAGTGCATTTACAGTTGCCATCGCTGCTGGTATTGAGGGACATTTCACATACACATTACCCTGTGAAAGAATATTACAAAGAATGTCTTTAGAGAATAAATATAAGATCAGGATCCAGTTTTCATATCAACTCTTAAAGATTTTTTTCCTTGTTATCCACTACAGATAAGTGCAAATAGTATTTGGATGAACAGACTAATACATATGTAAGCATCAACTTACTTGAGCGGAGTTCTTATCAACATAAATGTGAACTATTCCTCCATGTTTGTTGCACTCCTCAATAACATCATCTTGGATCTCGATGGCCCAGCTGGGATCGTTTTCCCTGAAAAACATGTTTGGTAATGTTAGAAATCCAGTGGCTTCAGATTGGCAGTTTTCTTGAATCAGTAGATTCACTTTTTTTAGTCCATCAAAACTAACTTGCCTTGTCCATATTGGCTGCAATGATCTTTTCTTAAAGATTAACAGTGAAAAACGAGTTCTAAAAATAGATAATTAGGCCTCTGGAAATGTTCCGCAGCCAATGTTTTGTGAAGTCCCTTTTTTGAGCTTCCACAGTGTTTACTAAGCTGAGACAGTAACTGAAAGACACCTACTTGGTTTGTGTCTGCTAAAACCTCATTAGCTTTGATTGAACTTTGGGCAGCATTTCTACTTAAGTTGGATTTTGTTCCCCCATGATTTACACCAGGGGTATTCAATTAGATTTCAAAGAGGTCTAGTTAAAGAAAATTTCCTGAAGCAAAGGTCCGGAACATTAAAACGACAAACTTGCGTTATCATTCAGTACTATAACCTATAGTTGTATCAACACATGTTTTTAGTCAACAACGGACTGTCAAATCAAATAATATTTCAGTCAGTTTTCACATCAAACTGGAGGGATAATAAATAACTATTCAAATAAATTCTAAATTTAAGTAAACTAAATTAAAGTGCCAAATTTTTAGAAAACATTTAATAAAAAGTGTAGCTTGAAGTGATGAAGTGTAGTCTTAACCAATTTTATAATAAACACTCAACTGAACAGCTGTAATGCCTCCTCTTCTCTTTCATTTCCTCTTACAGAGCTACCACTTTCCTACTTTCTGTTGTTCAGTGAGAAACGTGAGCTCCAGCTAGCATATTGGAGATCTATGAGATATTCTGGTTTTGAACTGCCCGTGGGAGGAATGTACATGTAAAAATCTGTACATTCTTGATTAAAAGTCATGTAAAATCTCTTATCTTTCGTCTCCTCAATTTGCGTGTGTTTCCAAAACGTCTCTGGTGAATCTCGCGGACTCGACTCGCAAGCATCGGTATGCACAGATTTGATTGGCTGAGCAGCGTCACATGAGACCATTGGAGCACATGCGATTGGTCTGTGAGTTTCCTGGTCCTCTAAACCAGTACAGTAAATGCTAGAAAAGCTGCGCGGGTTAAAATAGAAACACTCCGTCACGAGGTAGTAAGTCTCAATAATAAATGGGCTGGAGGACGGCGGCTGGGTCCGGATCCAGACCGCGGTCCGCCTATTAGTGACCTCTGATTTACACTGACATCGCTTTAGGAAGCCAACATGGACAGGACTAATTACATAAGCCCTACATAAACTCTTTCAATGTACATATGGGCAGGTGAGTATTTTTTGAAGACAAACTTAAAAGAAATGTGAACCTATCTAAAATGATAATGTCCTTACGCTTGTGGGTTGAACAGGTTGGACAGCTGAAGGCAGTGTGTGGCCAGCGGCTGTGATGGGAGGTTCAAGGCTTGGCTTGGAGCTGGAGTTGGAACAGCTGAAACAAGATGTGTCACTTACTTTCCCAATAAATAAAATAACTCACACGAAATGTTAGTCAGTCATCTAAAGCCTCACCTGGTGGAGCAGCGATGTTTCCAAAGGGTATGGACCCAGTCATCTGTAGAGCCTGCTGAGCAGCAGGAGGAATCTTTAGACCAGTTCCTGTGGACGGACAGAGAAATTAGTTGTGTATTTAAAAAATAAAATTTACATCTTGGGAAATGGGCCAAAAATAATATCAATTTCCTTCTTATTTAAAAAGCTGAAAACTGAGATCCACCCCCCCAGTAGAAAAATATCTAAGTGTTTCCCTGCTTGGACTTTCTTTTCAAAAAGGATGGTGGTTATAACAAACCTTCTGCTAGTCGTGCCATAAGCTGTAGACGTCCTGTGGTGCCGAGGTCGATGCCGGTCCTCTCCAATTCATCGTTGTCCAGAAATGAGCTGGCTGTCGACGAGTCTGAGCGCTCTGTAACATGCCCCACCTTCATTGGACGTCCAGCCAGCTCAAAGCCATTCAACTGCTCCAAGGCCTTTTTTGCACATTCTGCATCTGCAAACTTAAAAAAAAAAAAGAAAAAAGGAGGTTAATCAAACTAACTGCAAACACTAAAGCAGTGTCAATTAAGGCAAAGCAAGTTTTTTTGTATAGCACATTTCAACAAGGCAAAATAAAAACAGGATTAAAAAAAAGTAAACAACACAGGACAGTAAAACTTGCAGTGCACAATCAGGGTTAAGAGTTAAATGGAAAATAAAAACAGGCTGAGGGGTTGAGCAAATAACTGAATTATTTTGAAAAGAGAACAAACAGAAGTACACTTAATCTACTCTCTCTAGTTAAAATCAATTAAAAGCAATGATAAAAAGAAAAGTCTTCAGTCTTAGTTTAAAAGAACTGACAGTTTCAGCAGACCTGCAGTTATCTGGGAGTTTGTTCCAGATATACAGAGCATAATTGAACGCTGCTTCTCCTTGTTTAGTTTTGACTCTGGGGACAGAAAGCAAACCTGCCCCAGACGACCTGAGGGGTCTGGATGGTTCATAACGAAGCAGAAGATCAGAAATGTATTTTGGCCTTAAACCATTTAGTGCTTTATAAACTAACAGCAGGATTTTGAAATCAGTTATTTGACACACAGAAAGCCAATGAAAAGACCTCAGAACTGGAGTGATGTGATCCACTTTTTTGGTCTTAGCGAGAACCCGAGCAGCTGCTTTCTGAATCAGCTGCAGCTGTCTGATGGATTTTTTACACCGTTACAGTAGTCGAGTCAACTGAAGATAAATGCACAGAAGAGTTTTTCCAAGTCTTGCTGTGACATGAATCCTTGATATATTCTTCAGGTGATAGTAGCCTGACTTTGTAATCGTCTTCATGTGGCTCCTCAAATTCAGGTCTGAGTCCATGACTACACCAAGACTTCTGGCTTGATTTGTGGTTCTTAACATTATTAACAGATTGAAGCTGAGCACTGACTTTCAATCGTTCTTCCCTGGCTCCAAAAACAACAACTTCTGTTTTATCCTCGTTTAATTGAAGAAAATTCCGGCACATCCAATCGTTGACATGCTCAATACAGTTACTCAGCGCTTGTATGGGGTCATAGTCCCCTGGTGATATCGTTATGTAAATCTGTGTTTCATCTGCATAATTATGGTAACATTTTGTTTAGTTTTTCATAATCTGAGCCAGTGGAAGCATGTAAATGTTAAACAAAAGACGCCCCAGAATGGAGCCTTAGGGAACTCCACATGTCATTTGTTAGCTCAGATGTGTGATTACCTATAGACACAGTAGTCCTGTCCTTTAAGTAGGATTCAACTAAATACAGATGCTTTAATTACCGATATGAAGCCATATCCTTTGGATCGTCCAGTTTCACTGTCCATCATTAGCTGGATTCCCTCAATCTTTGGAAACAAAACACAGAAAGAAAAAGGATTGTAATGAATGCATCTGCAAAACAAGTCAACAACATCATTTGTGAAACTTGTTCCTGACCTTCCCAAAAGGCTCAAAGATCCCTCGAAGCATTTCTTCAGTAATGTTGAAGTGCAGCGAGCCCACGTACAGCCGCATTGGACCCGAACTGCCCTTCTGTAGATTATTGGCAGCAGCTGCAGCTCTGTTTTTCTCTGCCTGTAAGCACATAGGGAAAGTAACGTCATTATCTTAGTTCAGTACGTCAGTGTGGAATGGGTTAAACAAGATGAAGGAAGAAAAATGTGTTTTTACAGGAATGTACTGGCTAACAAGAGTGTGAAAATTTTAAGCTGTGTGTTGCATTTCCAACATGTTTTTGTTTCAAATACTTAGTGTGCGACAACAAGCCCGTTCAGCTTTTGGGGCAGACATCCCTCAACTGCTGAAGCATGGCAGCTGTCTATCAATATGTTCAGTCACAGGTAGAAATAATCCAGGTGCAGTCTGCATTTAGGTTAAGTTACCATGACCTGAGAGGCCTGGACGATGATGGGCACTCCTAAAAGCCTCTGGCCAGTCAATCCAATTGCCAGTGGCACAGAAGAAGCCTCCACAAACTCGATGTATGCAATGCCCTTTGACCTCCTGGAGTTTCTGTCCGAGATCATTCTCACATCTCTTACCTGCAGAGACACAGTGACCATTTCAGACATTGTTTCTACATACAGACCTGCTGGATTAAAGATGTCTATAACTTGAAAATAGACTGACTTTTCCCACAGCCGAGAAGAAGTCTTCCAGGTCTCTGGCTCTGATTCTTGCAGCAAGCTGCATGCAGAAAACTGTGCGAGCATCCCTCTCCTCTGGTGTTAGATTGTCAATTGGTTGCCTTAAAAAGGAGAGGAAAAAAAACACCTAATGTTTAAAAAGTGAGTGTGCCAGTAGAAACATTAAAATGAGCCATTTAATAAATGATGGGTGAAATTATCAAAACTTGGTGTAAATCCTAGATAAACCCTGATTTTTTTATACAGCATCTTTGTCTTAATTAAATTTTTTTGAAGATCTGTAAACCTCGTGGGTTTGAAGACAATTACTGGATTTGAGGATGCTATCACAAAATCAGGTAATGTATCCACAGTCCTAAATATTCAGCTCACCTTATGGGACTCTTCTCCTTTTTGAAGGGGCTCCGGCTTTTGGAACGTTTACGGCTGAAACAAAGAATTATTTTTAATTTCAAATAAAGTTTCTTGCAAAAATTATATGGATGCATGTGCTGTGTATGAGACAAAGAGCAGGGTCCTGTTATTGCCTGCTACATACTGTGCTGTGTGAGCAACATATTAAAAGTTGTCAATCAACATTAATACGGCTGTCTACCGCAGTACTCCAGGAAACTAGAAATCAATTTCTAAAGAGCCACGTTTCCTAGAAGACCTTCTTGTATGTCACAGTAGGACAAACAAGTGTACATAACAAAATGATCATTTTGTTGCTTCTGTTTTAGGATGCTAGTATTAAGCGTGTTGACTCACTGTCACACTTGAAAAGAGTCATCATTAATGCTATCAGTAACACTCCTGCTTCTACTACGACATGTCAACATGTCTGCTGTGAAGAAGGTGAACCACTGACAATACTCCAATGACGTAGTATGTCAAATGCCTGACGTTTAGCTTTAGGGTTGTGGCCCTAGTTAGTAGTTGTATGCTGTACTGCATTATATTAAAAAGGTGATCCTAATAATATACCACCCTCATGTATGTGAATGGGGTGGAGAACCTTTTATTTTTATAAAACACCTCTCAATATAAACAGTCCAATACAACACCAGCTTAAACTTTGACCTAAATAATACAATGACACAATTGTGAAACTGTCGCCAAAAGCCAAACGCTGACCTCTATAAAAGCAGTTAGCAGGGCTGTTATATTTAAGTGTATTATATTGTACAGGTGTACGAAATAAAGTGGCAACAGTTTATGCAGGCAAGTGGGATAAAAAAAAAGGTCACATACACGGGGCTCTTGCGTGCCTTGTACCGCCCAGAACGTTCCTTGCTTCGGGAGCCGCTGCGATGGCGCTCTCTGCTACGGCTACGTTTTCTTTCTCGGCTCCTGCTCCTCTTCTTGCCCTTCTTTTTGTCTTTGCTTCTGCTTCTTCTCTTCCTAGAGCCGGGACTTCGGCTCCTGCTTCGGCTCCTTCTTTTCCTAAAACATGTTACAACACTGCTATCGTCGTGCAAAGTGAACACATTTTAAATGATTGACTTTATGTGGTTTAAAGACATGAAGCTAATGTACCATATGTTCAAAACTTACTTCTTGTTCTGGTCGTCGTGTCCATTTGCATGAGAGGACTTGATCTCATCCTAAGCAAGGTTGATAGAAGAACATCATGAGGACGTAGATGAAACATTTCAAGTCGTCAAGGTAAAGGGGATGGGGGTGGGACAAGAGAAAATGCAGAATATATTCAATTAATAATAGTACTTAAAATTTCCTACTGTCATATCTGGACAGTGTCCTTCCACCACCCCAATAGATCCCATCCCACTCCAGTTATTTTTTTTATTTTTATTTTTTTAAAACAAGGCTGCTCAGTACAGTAATGCAACAAAGCAAAGTTAAGGGAGTGTCCAACATATTAGCAGAGTTCAGGAAGCTTTGACAGTAGCCAGATCATCTCCACCATTCCCCTTCCACTAGGTCGTACCAATGCCACTGCCACTATTTGTGCCTAATCATGTGACCACGCATGGCCCACGGCCACTAAAAGAGATCCTGTGTGGTTGGTGTCAGTCCAGTGATCTTCACCCATTTTCGTTCTTGGACTGTAAGAGCTCGATGCCACCTCTGTCACACATCTTGCCCTGAAGCAAACAGGGATTCACACTTCTTAGTAATATTGACGCCCAAGAAAAGAAATGAATAAATAAAAAAAATAAAAAAACTGAAATAAATCCATCAATTCAGCCACGTGTTATACTGCCATTATCTTTAGTTTGCATGATATAAAAATACTTCCAACCTTTTGATTTAAGGAGGAATTATTAACTACTGAAAACTCACTTTATAATACAATGATGCTAGATAGATGTATCCATTTTACAGTCATTCTAGTAATATATCAATATCTGTGGCGCATGCACAATCAAGATGCTGATTCACATTATAGTTGACTAAGGCAAAGAGGCAGTATTCATATTTACAAACAAGAGAAAATAATTATTTACCTTTAATTTGACATAAAATCATGACATGGCTCACGTGTTTGGTCAGAAATCCACAACGGCAATATCTACATTTTCAAGCATACTGTTGTCAAAGTACAGCTTTTGGATTTAGAACAGTTATAGTCCGATACAAACACAATTGAGTATCCCTAATTAACTTTGGGAGATCATTTTTCCATTCACAGTTTAATACATGACGATTCTTACTTGAAGAGCAATTTGGTTCAAATTAAATTAGTTAAAAGGTGACCGAGCGATGCATCTTGTCAAAGCCACACGGTGAGAGACACTTGTTTCTCTATTCCAGAACTGGCGTTTAAATCTGATTATATGGGGCTGCATATTCAGAGACAGTGATGGCATGCAGACTGTAAATCTGAATACTGCCTCCTTTGCTGGACAGTTAAGGATGGGCTTATCAACCATTGGCATTCACCTTGTTGCAACCGAATACGGATTGGATGTTCTAGGTTGAATCTCTTTTAGTCCTAAAGTGAACCACAGTACATCAGTATATGCACAATAACTACCTTCCTTTTTTTCACAGTTCACAGTGGAATCAAAGATGAATTCATGGGAGTAGAGGTGAGATATCATTAGGGAAGTCTATAAAGAGAGATAGATGTGGATTTATTTATAATTCTGTATTGCGTTTTAAAATACTCAATCACACCACACAACATTCAAGTAAACTTTGTCAGACAGTAGCAAATATAAAAAAAGGACTCAAAGAGTAAATCATAACAGTGAAACAGGCCTCATCTCTGTGATCTGCAACCCACCTTTCTGTATGGAGCCTCCAGCATGGCCTCAACGTCAAAATCATCAGCCATGATGATCCTGTGAAAGACAGACAACAATGATTACACCTTTACATGCATGCAAGAAAATATTTTTAAGTCCCGTAAAAGCAAGAAACTGTTTAATGTGTTTTTAATGCAGTTGGTCACAGGTTTTCTTCCCTTACCGTACAACTACACCACACTGACACTTTCTCTGTCTTGGATCTTTGTCATGCAACTACATAACGTTACAAGTTTGAGAAGACTGGTGAGAATTTACGAGTTGTGTGTTAAACAGCTTACACTTAACATGATAAGTGAAATCAGATATTCTGTTTATGACCATGTCAGATAAGTTAGTTAAATTTAGGTATATTTAAAACCCAGAGAATTAAAAGCTAAAAATAAGTTAAATGGCGACGATAGTGTTTCAAGGAGTTTGCCCCAACTTCCTTAAGCAATATTACACATTTAACCTTGAATGCGACACATTAAAATGCAAATTATCTCATTCATTAAACCCATACAAACCTCAACTATTCATTAGAGCTCAAACACCGACATATATTTAACATTAAAAGTGACGATAACATAAAGGATAAATACGCGTCGCACTTAACAGGAAGCTAACGCTAACTAGCCATTTAGGGAAGCTAACACCTCCGTCATTTCAACGGTAGCTTATTTCAATGACCCTTATTATTGCTTTACCGCTACGTTTGACAAGACTCCTGATATAAGGATCAATAAACGTGTAAATTTGCGCGGAAAGAATCAATTTGAAACCTCAAAATGCTTGCGGTTGTGCAGATAATATTCAACGTTGGAAAAACAAGCGCTAAGTGAACAGAAACGTTAGAGATCCAACATGGCCAGCTAACAGCGTTTCCGCGGCAGCGACCTAGCTTCACTAGCAAACATTGACGTTACCGTTTCAAATTGGCGAAATGATGTGCCAAAGTCAAAATATCACGGAAAATGTGCTGCTGAAGAGACTCTTCTCGACGTCTCCTTCCCGGCAGATCACGCAATGTTAAGATGCAATCACAATTTTCGATGTTATGTAACCTTTCTTTTTCAATGTTAGCAACTATCGTAGCAGGTCGTGGCCTGGCCTCAAAATGCTCGCCTGCCTTCTTCGTCGTCGTCGTCTTCTTCTGCTGCTTTGAAGGTTTATGACTGCGGCAATGTTTGGTGTTGCCTTACTGCCACCTACCGGAGCTAACAAGTACTTCACCGCTCAGTTCTTCAAACAAGTCTCTACCCCTACAGGCAAACTGTCGGTGGTGGAACTATTTACTCAAGTACTGTCCTTAACTACACATTTGCGGTATCTGTACTTTAATTTAGTATTAGCATTTCATGACACGTTCTACTTCTGCTCCACTACATTTCATATTTTTTACCCTACAATACAATTATTTGACATCTTCAGTTACAAGTTACTTTACAAATCAAGATTTTAAATACAAAACATATGAAGAACTTTTAAAACTTGCCAACCCGACAGGTTAAACCATTTATCATATATAACATTATACCTTGTATAATATAACATATAACATTAAACTGTTTAGATAAATGATTATTCGTTTAAGTTATTTCTCATGTAAAAATGCCTGACACATTTCAAAATTTCAACTTCTCGAGTCTGAAGATTTGCCCTTTTTCTTGTTAAATCACCATGAATCAAATAATATTGAGGTTTGGACTGTTGCTCAGACAAAACATTTGAAGGTTTGAGCTTTGTTTTATTGTGACTGTAATATAGAATAAATTGATTGATCAAGAAAATAATCAGCAGATTAATCCACAATGAAAATAAGTTGCAATAATAATTAGTTGCAGCCCAGTACAAAATGAGCTCCACCTCATCCACTTACAAGAGAAACATGCTGATTAACATTTATGCATTAGTAATAATATTGTAACCAAAATGGATACTATATACACTCACAGGGACCAGCCTTTTATAGCCTCTAAAAATAGTTAAATATTAAATATCCTAAAGATCTAGGGTTTAGTCTAAGTCAGTGTAGGGTCAAAACACAACGCTGTCAGTGTCTATGCATTACATCTTAATGCAACCTCCTTTAAAACTTGAGGTCTTTTAAATTGTCACTTTTGTTTGCCACTGCCTCTTTTAAATTCTTCTCCATATTCTGTTTTAGATCATTAATATCTTATTTTACATATATTTAAAAGCTTGCACATTAACTTGTTGTTTCTATAGTGAAAAATTGCAAGATCACAGATGATGCAGGTTATTTGCAGTTACCACAAACTATCACTAAACCTGCAGTTTTTGGTGATTTATAAGTATGAATTCAAACACAACTTTTCACTCAACTGTATAATATATATTTATTGATAATATAATTTAGAATAATTAGCTTGTTAGACAATAATAATGTCATTGATAAACTGGACTGTGAGAAATAGTGTTAAAAACAATAACATATGAGTCTCCACTGTGCACATGAGCCAGTCAACTTGACTGTTCTGATATCATATTATTAAAAAGATAATAACAAAACACCAAAACGTTGACCAGTCGCTATTATAACAGATCAACTCAGCGCTGTGCAGGATAACTGGTCTAATTAGCGTAAATAGCAGAAGCAATCCCAGCTCTACCAATGGTCATAAAACGGTCAGGTATTTGCTAAACTGCAGGCGCGGGCTCAAGGCGAAAACGAGCAGCAGGCACCTCCCCACTTCCGGTGAAGACAGGAAGGTAAGACAGGAAGGTCGAAGCACGTTGCTAAGTAAATCCATCGATTTTTGGCCATTGGTATAATTTTGACGTTAGCTTTTGGTCTGCAGGGCCGCTGACTAACATATTCTCAACACATTTTGCACAAGTCGTTTCGTCGAATTACACCCGTCTTCCTCCTGTCTACCTGTAACACATAACAGATGGCACAAACGCCCCTGATGTCTTTGGAATCGCGCTTTTCCACGCGAGAACACAGGCAGGTCAAATTATTTCACGGCTCTGTGTCGCCATCTACTGATAATTAAAAGGAAATGTCAACTTCCCTACATTACATTAACATCCAAGCTGCGCATTCAAGTTTTAAAAGTAATTGTATCCCATCTTTAACTTTTTGTTATGGATTATATTAACATCATATACCGTCTTTACCCTTTAACAGTATTTGTCAAAGTGTTTTAGGTGTATTTGGTTTGGCAGTTTTTCATTCATTTTACTTGTCATTAGTTTCGTGTAGATGCTTGTAACAGCCTGGTTTTCTTATGCGTGTTTATGTTATTGCACATATATTTTTGCTGCTTTAAATTTATTTAATTTTATACGTTTAGTTGTTTTTAAATTGTTTGTTTAAGTCCATGTTTTTGTGTCTGAAGAGACCCCCTTGAAAAAAAGATGGTGCACATCCATCCACAAAATTGGCAAACAGTTTAAAAAGAGTTTATTTCACATCACAAACTTTTGACAAAGTGGCCAAGAGAGCTATAACAGTCTATTTCCTCCGTTTGCATGTTGGACAATAAATAACACCATTACTATTTGTAGTAGACAGCGTTGGACAATGTCTCTGCACTGGCACTGTTTTTCATTATTATTTATGATCACTAATTCAACTTGTATACAATGTAATGGATATAAACATTTAATTAATAGTATCCCACTGTTGAGTGATGGTAAATTCCATGACGTATAAAGACAAATACAGGCTTATTTACATTTTCTCCTTCAGTCACCTGCACTGACCACACTTGGCTGTTGCAGGTCAGGCAGAAGAATCCTCTGTTGAACTTATGTTACTGAATTTAAGTGGTGAATCATAGTCCCGAGGAACATCAAAAAACAGCTCATCGTCAAAACAGAAATCGTCGGATGGTGATGCGAGGTACGGCAGCTTCAAGACGAAGCCTGTGAGGATGCCTCCCAGCGCTGACACTGCTATGGTAACGAACACAGCTGCGACCTGGAAGAGAGCCTGTTCCCGGGCAGTCCTCCCCAACCCTGGCTGTAAACTGGGGATCAACATCTGCAGCTCTTGCAGCTTAGGGTCTCCTTCCACTGGTGCTCTGTGGGTAAAGATCTCATACAAACTGGGGCCGTAAACCTCCTCGGTTGCCATCAGTATAGCACATATCCCTGCAGTACAGGATATAAGTCCTGTTAGACCATGCAAATTATGTATTCCACACTGATCCTGGATCCTGAAGCGCCGCGCCAGGAAGGGGCTCAAGTACTTGTAGCCTAGCATGCATGCAGTGCAGCCAATCATACCGAGGGCATATGCAGCTGCAGGAGATATCATCATGTCCACAGATGCCCCGACTGTCACGCCTCCAGCAAGGGTCACGTTCTGAACATCAGCCATGGTAAGCTTGCCGTTTTTGTTCAGCATGGTGGAGAGAGCAAAGGCTGTGAGCGTGGAGGCGCTGAGGCCGATGAAGGTGTGGAGGATGGCTCTGTGCTGGTCGTCTCCTTTCAGGGTTAATGCTGAGTTGAAGGAGGGCCAAAACACCCAGAGGAACAAGGTCCCCATGACAGACAGGATGTCGGACTGGTAGCTAGTGTTCTCCTTTACGTGGCCTTCTTTTAGGCCAGGCCTGTACAATACAAATGTGACACCCAAACCAAAATAACAGGCAAAGAGGTGAATGAGAATAGAGCCTCCTGCATCGTTTATCTTCAGATACTTCAGCACGGCCCACTCAGTGACTGCGAACACTGGCACTTCCAGCAGAGCCATGACCAGCAGCTGCAAAGGACTTGTCTTCCCCAGCACTGCCCCGAAAGATATCAGCACCACAGCACAGGCGAACTCTGCATTTATTAGGTTGATCACTCCGAGGTGGATCTTACCGTCATGGCTGAACTGGAAGTACCCCTGCACCAAAATGGCCCACTGGATGGCAAAAGTAGCCGTGAGGAAGTTAAAAACCATCCCCCCAAAACCATACAGTCGAAAAAATGCAAGCAGGCACCCAAAGCCAAGGAATATAATGACCTGTATGTCAGTAAAAAAAGGGTAATCTCGGTACACTGCATTGTCCATGGGGTTAGTTGTGTTAGTCTGAAATTTGGCATCTGCATGCTCATCGTAGGTGACAAAAGCAGCATACAAGAAAACAATTATCACCTCTGTTACAAACACAAACACAGGTAACTTAACTCGAAGGCTTGTCGACTGCGTCTTCATCTTGACAGCTCTTTGGAACAAATGACCGTAGTTTCTTTTGCAGCCTGGATTATTATCTCTGTTTATATAAGACAGGCCAAAGGCATGGGTCAAGCCTGCTCTCTCTCTCCGCTCCCTTTCATACACAAAGACAAGCAATGTTCCGCTCATGGAGAAATACTGCTGCGTGGACTTTGGCCATTGTAATAAGACATGTAACAGTTCTGATGCATTGCATTTTTGTGGTTATTGTGCAACACGATATTGCGCGTCTTTACAGCTATACATTCACAATAGCTTGTCTTGTAAATTGTACCAGAATCAATTTTTATCTGATGATATCATTAATGCATTTACTACAAATGGGTGTCTTTTAACAAAGTTTAAGGTTTTTTTAATTTAAAAAAAAAAGTTTTAACCTGTCCTGCCCAGCAACCTGGTATGAGTATGAGGAGCTGGATACCATATTGTGCCAGACAGATTTTACTTTAACAATAGAGTATTAATATACTCCTTTGTCTGAACTGTTATTTATTCAAATGTATTTGTCACCGGGCCAGGGGATAGACATGGGGATAGACATGGGGATGGGGAATAGAAACACCACATAAACAGACAGCACAGAGAGAGGGCAACACCTGCAAGAGAACGGGGATGGGGGGGTGGAGACAACAGGAAATAGCAGAATGAAACACCAATTGCAGAAAGCAACAAAACCTGCAAGAGAATGGGGAGGGGGGCTAGGGGCGGAGAAAAACAAATAAATAATAAATATGAGTTATAAGAATTTATATACACAGTAACATAATTTATGTTGCCATGTGAATGTTGTACTTAAACTCTGATCACATGCTGTGAGTGTTGCTGGCTAATTTCCATTTGGAAACATTGTGAAAGAAAGTTTGCTGTCCTACAAGCAAGCCTCTGAGTCAATCATTTGGGACATAATCTCTGTTAAATTATGGAGCCAGTGATATATGCTTCAACTGGCATGTTGCACTGCAGTTCAGCATGTTCTTTCCAGATCAATCACTTTGACTGAAACAATTTTCAAGAACTAGGTTAAGATGAGAACAGAAGACCGATATAACAGTTGGTCTCCCACAATACATTTATACAAGTTGATAATACCTGATATTAAAGATGATAATCATTTTACCGTTTGACATAATATGAAATTAAAGCTAGAGTGCGGAACTTTTACATATGAATGAACGTCCGTTACATTCAAGCCCTTGCCAGACAAGTTCACAAAATGCTGATTAAAGCCTCTGTACTCATAGCGACATTCCTGCGCTAGTAGTTAGGGATGCACCGAAATCAAAATTCTTGGCTGAAGCTGAAACCCAATTTACAAGTACATTCACACTTTTTTTTTTTTACCATTGCATAAATTAAATAGTCAAAATGTTATTTTTACTCAGTGTTTCCCACAGGATTTGGAAAGACTAATTACATGTGTCAGTTCCTACTTTTAATGGACACATGTAATATGTTTTATACTTTCTGTGAATGTAATCCAATTGATCTTATTTCTATACTGTATAGACACCAGACGTTGTCACATGTGTATCCTCTCCTAAATTCATCAAATCCGACCCAATTTAATAAATAATGTTGTACGTGTTTCTCGTATTGCGTAACATGAAGACTTCAACTCTCATTCTGCAACAGCTGTCTTTGTAAAGAAAGAAAATGACAGGATAAAGTCGCTGTTTCAGTGGATTTACCTCAAAGGCTTAAATAAGTGTGCACTCCAAATTTAGGTGTGGCTAGCTAAATCGCCTTCTCGTCCTTCGGATGAGACGTTAAACCGAGGTCCTGACTCATTGTGGTCATTAAAGATCCCACGGCTCTTGTCGCAAAGAGTAGGGAGTTCCCCGGTGTCATGGTGAAATACCAAACTGGCTTTCATCATCTGGCCATCTAATCATCCCCAGTAGTAATTGGATCAATGTTTCCCTCCCTCTCCGCCTCAAGCTGATGTGTGGTGAGCGTTCTGGCGCTAAATGGCTGCCGTGCATCACCCACGTGGGTGCTACACATTGGTGGTGGTTAAGTCCCCCCGACTTCACTGTGAAACGCTTTGAGTTTCCATGATAAAGCACTATATAAATGTAAGTAATTCATCATTATTATTATTATTCTCAGAAACGTGTGACAGAACCACTCAAAGCAGTTCAGACCAGTTGCCTTTTCTAAGAAGTCAGCCACAGATGGTGTGGATGTGCTAGGAGACAATTCATCAGAACAATGGCGATTTTTGTCATTGCCATTTTGACACTTTGCTTCCACACTTTTTTTTTTTTGCTATTTTCGGCTGATTAATAGGGTGCATTCCTACTAGTTGTGACGTGTTTTATGCCAACCAGGAATGACTGGTTTGCAGGAGCTGAAGGGGGGAGCGACAGCAGTATCTTAGTATAGCAGAGCCTGTAGATAAGCATATACGCACTGGTCGACAGTGCTCTGGGCTAATAACTCTCAGAGTCAGCAGGAGAAGACAAAAGGTTTAAATAATTTCCCCAAAATGCCCTGCTTATGTTGAACCAGTATTATTTGGGAGTAGCTAAATACTGTATTTGTGCCTTCAGTAGTGCAAGTTAGGATTAGAAATGATTTTTCTGACTATAAATCAGAGTGCAGAAAAGACAATGCAAATAATGCATTTTATGATGGTGAATACCCTGTGTTGATGTGCCTTCTCTAAAATAGCAGTATAATTAACAGGTTATCTGTCCTCAACTGCAGCTGATTCATGACATTATGTACATACATTCATGATCCGCAGAGGATAAATATCTCAACACCTACTTAATGGATTGCCTCAGCAAATTTGTACAGACATTGAGGGTTCCCAGTGGTTAAATCCTAATGATGATCCTTTGATGATCCTTTAACCTTTCACGTAGCAGCATCATCTGGTCAAAATTTTAATTTATTTAATACTTTGGTGTATGATCCAAGCATGTTAGCATTAGCATTACGCTCAAGGGGCCGCTGTGCCTACATATAATACAGCCTCATAAGGCCGCAGTAGACTAATGAGTCTTGCTGTGGAAATTACTGTGGTTGTATCCTTAACAATAGACTGTAGCACTGTTGCCGCCTTGGCCTTGGCACATTAAAGAATTTGGTTTGTGTTGAGTATGATACCATTTTAAGTATCACTAATCTGTGCAGTCTGATGATCAGTGATGCAGGAAAAGAAGAGGCATGTACAGAAGACATGCACAGTAGACGTTTGCAAAATTACAAACCATAAAGCCAATGCAAGGCAATTAAACTATAGGCAAACACTATAAGGGCCTGTGACTGTTGTATTAAAAGGATTTTAATTTATTGCATTTTGTACAGACATATAACATGGTTTCTTTAAACCATTACTTGTACGTAATTGCAGAAGACATGGTAGAACATAAAACAAAGTTTGCTTATCATTTTAAATGACAATACAAACTGCCTATTTTATATCTATAAAATCTGTATTAACACACATTGTACGTGTTATCTCTAAGCCTAAAATCACAGCTCTATTTACAATTGTCCTATATTCACTCTATCTTGCTGTTCAGGTACATACACTGTCCTCACGTATCAGGGTCACACGCAAACATATAGCATACAGGCATGTAGTCACAACACACACTCTCTGGGTGAGGGAGTTTAAAAATTGTGTTTCTAAACTTCTGCTTCACTGAGGGTTGCACAGATATTCACCACAAAGAAAAAATATCAATATGTGTATGATGTCATGAGGTTTTGTATATGTTACGTAGTTGAAAACAATACATGTATACAATTAATCTGGAGGAAATTAGAATACTTACAAGTTCTTTTTCCTGGAAACTGATGCACAATTTCCAAAGAAAAATACTTTTACAGCACTAATAGGCCCAGGAGAAGAGGGAAATAAAATCAAACTACCTTATACATTCATGTTTGGACATGTTTTCCATTATAAACTATTATTACTTAACGCTTTACTGATATCATAAACTATGCATGTTCTTTGGCAAGATAATGTACACTGGCCCAACTCTTACTGGTCATATCCTATGAAATGTTTGCAGAATCAGTTGACTTTGATGTGCATGAATTAATGTAGGTTGAAAACATAGATGAAATTATACACAGATGGAAATTAAACATACATTGTGTACACATTGCCTTGTTACAATCCCTGAAAATTCCCTCACATTTTCAAATTGCATTCCTATGGTAGCAACTGAACATTTAAGAAGGTTGACATTTCGGGAAACATGTTTATTTGCCTTCTTGCTGAGAGTTAGATGAGAAGATTGATATCACTCACACGTCTGTGCAGGACATCTTAAGCTACAGCTAGCACTCGGTTAGCTTAGCAAGACTTGAAACGGGAGACTAACTCTGT